GCCCAGACTGTCGAGGTTCAGCCTCCTGATGAGTCGGTGGAAGTCCGACGAAACAGTCTGGCGCAGTCATCACCCGTTCGTCCGAAACGAACGGGTGCCCAGTGTTCAGGCACCAAAAGAAAAAAAGAAAAAAAGAAAAAAAAATCTAACGAGGAAAAAAAAAAAAAATCTAAAAAAAAATCTAAGCAAAATCTAAGAAGAAAAAAAGGAAAGAAGAAAGGAAAAGTAAAAAGAAAAAAAACTTACCTAATTACGAGAACAGTCGCCCGTTTTTCAGGACACTGCTTGGTGCACTGGGGCTGAAACGCCCCAGTCACTTCTGGGGGCGCCATCTGGCGCTTCGCTTTCAGTTAGTTTTAGTGTGGTTTTTTTTTTTTTTTTTTTTTTTTCCCCCTCTCTGTTGGCCCATGCCAACAGTTAGGTCTCGTGGCTAGCCCACGAGCTTTGAGATACAGACCCAAGTTCAAGTCCTTATGGACTTAAGAAAAAAAAAGGACCATTTCTCGATTTATGTGAGTCATCCTTGCGCAGGCCATGCTGATCTTTGCACAACCGATCTCGGTCGTGCGATCTCTGCGATCGACGTTCGAAATCGACCGTGCCGACCGCAAGGTGGCCAGCTCCAAAAAGAGCTAGCCCGGGGGCGCAGTATGTCGGATTCGTTCCCGGTACCTACTGGGTATGAGTCACCTGCTGTAACCTACTGGCTACCTCCTATCATGATAGTGATAGGAGCTGCTCTTCTAAAAGAAGAGTTGGCCCAGTCGGTACTCCCCCCACGCCAAGGCTTTGCAGGCCCCGCTTGCCTACGGCCTCACAGGCTCCGCCTGCCTGGGGACGCTGCAGGTCTTGCCTGCCTGCCTGTGGCCCTGCAGGCCCTGCCGGCAGGCCTTACCCCGTCGGTAGGCCGCGTGGCCTCGGCATCGGCCTATCAACCCCCAGGCTCGAGTTCAACCTCCGCGGCCTAGAAAAACCTTCTTCCTATTTTCCCGGCGCCGCGGCCCTATACCCGGCGCAACCCTCTTTTTAGCCCACTTAGGCCCTGAATCGCGTGGCTGCTAGGTAGACTAGGTGTAACTCTAGTCTTTCCATGACTGCACACTACTGCGGCCTCGTCGAAAAACCCGCGGATGACAGTGCTGACTCCTGCTATCCCACGCGGACGTCGATGTCGTCTTGCGTTGACGACGTCAGGTTCTAAAAAGGTTTAGGTCTCTCAGTCATAGCGCTGGTCTGAATAAACGTTTGGCAAACGTCAGTCTCATCAAGTCCTTCAATTCAACGCAAGAGTCGGACAACGTCCGACGTTCAAAAACACCGGCAAATACCCTTGTCAGGGTTTTTGCCCCGACAGCGTGATTTATCCGAGTTCAGTTTCACCACTCAGCCTATCAAGGGTGAAACAAACCGCGTCGCCGGCGTCCCATATAGAAATATACAAATGAGCATGGCAGATCTGGTCACCAGGTATCTGCGTTCCCTCCACCGTACAGCTCCGCGTCTAGGTCGTAGCAGAGTTCCACGACTAGGAAGTTGCAGGTCATACGGGCTTCCACAAGACGTTGGCTCGTGTTTGCCGGCCATACGTCTAGCCGAAGTCCAAGGACTTTGTTAAAGCCTACATCCAGGAGTGTCCTACCTGCCAGGAGGTGAACAGTGCGAACCACCTTCCGTATGGGTTACTTCAACCCCTACCCATACCTGAGGGTCGTTGGTAGTCCATCTCGATGGATTTCGTTGGTCCCCTCCTTCCACCCACTGAGCTCGGTCATGATGCTATCTTGGTCGTCGTTGATCGCTTCACGAAGCGTGCACATTTTTTCCCGTGCCACTATCGCATTAGCGCTCGTGAGGTCGCTGACATTGTCTTCGACTGAGTCGTGAGAGATCACGGCTTACCCAAGAGCATCATCTCCGACCGTGACCTGCGCTTTACCAGCATATTTTGGAGACACCTACACGAGGTATACGGATCCCAGCTCCACTTCTCATCGTCTTACCACCCTCAGATGGATGGTCAGACAGAGGTCACCAATAAAACTCTCAGTTATATCCTCCGAAAGTTTATTAGGGATGACCAGCAGTGAGACTTACGCTTAGCCCACGCAGAGATTGCGTACAACCACACCATTTTGCCAGCCATGGGGATGTCGCCATTCTATTACGACCTCGGCTACCCGTGGATTTCCTGCGACCGTCGCGGTTGCGCCCAGACACTCGTTGTTCTGCGCTTGACAACTGGATCACGCGCATGGCGACGATTATGAAGCGTGCACATGAGAGCCTAGCCGACTCCCAGACCCTCATGGCCGCATGAGCGAACCGATCACGAATGGATCATCCATTCAAAGTCGGTGACGATGTGCTTGTCGACACACGCCACTTGCAACTTGAAGCAGATACGCTTCGCAAGTTCAGGCGTCGCTTCTTCGGTCCATGCCGCATGCTTCAGGCCGTCGAATCTGATACTGCCGCTAGTCCGGTAAACTCATGTGTGAAGCTACCTGATTACCTTTGACAGGCTCGCGTACATGATGTTTACCACATCTTCTTGTTGCGTCCTTATCGCAGACCGTCTGAGCGCTTCGTTGGACGTCCTTATGAGCGCCCTCCACCTATCATGGCGGACGGTCACGAGGAGTCCGTTGTTTCTGACATCGTATGTCGCCAAGTTACGGACGATACCCCTCCACGCATCGAGTACCTTGTGCGTTGGAAGGGCTATCCTCATGAGGAGGCTACTTGGGAGTCCCTCGAGCACTTGGAGCACACCCGAATGTTGGTGCGTGCATATGATCATGCTTGTCGTGTTGAGACATCCGCTCCTACTCAGCCAACTGACCCTTTTCCTCCTCCTCCGGTTGAGGAGATTGCTGAGGACGAGCCTGCTCCCTCTGCGGTCGTCCTTCAGCAGCAGAAGGACGCCTCCGCGCATCCATGGCGCACTTGTCGACGCCCTCGACATCTCGACGACTGACACTTTGATCACCTATTATCTTCTTACTAACTCACACCTTCAGGTACTCCATCATCAACTTCTTCAAGATGTTAGCATTTTGCGGCTTTGCTTCGGCATCGAATCGACTCCTACTTCATCGACGTCATCGACCACTTCGACGACTTCAACTCGGCTTCAGCTAGTTTGGACGTGACTCCCTCACGCAACCACCCTACCCTGTATATTCCCCTTGCATTGTCGCATGATGGTTTTCACTTAGTTGGGTCTCTTTGAGTGGGCTCTCCCTTGGTATCATATAGGCATTGGGACCATAGCATTATCTTGGCTTCCCTGCTCCCAGATCTAGCTCCCTCCCCCAGTCGTTGAGTTGTGTGCATGTTTCCCTCACTCACTGCATTTCTCATCACCCTAGTGTCGACCATTGCATGCCATCAATTAGGCAAATGTCCACCCTGTTCCAGGCTCCTCTTTCATGGTCAACCCTGCATGGTGTCACCCTTTCGTCGAGCATTACCCGCCTTGATGGTCTATCAGTTAGGGTCATTGGTTTGCATCTCTACCACTCCCTCACCCTGAGCCTGATGACCTTCCCCACGTTTGTGTGTGTCTGCCCTTAAGAGTTTCGATTCTTAGGCTGCATTCACCCCCTCTGAGACCATCCCACTCTTAGTGGTTCAGCGACATGACATTAGTTGTGACATATTGCTATCTTTTCCTTTCTGCACTCAGGCACTTGCCTCCAGGTTTTTAGGATTGTAATTTGCTACATTTCATTTTCTGTTGTTAGTTAGGATGTGTATACCAGACATCTGCTTTTCATTTGACAGTATGTAGCGTAGGCTGCATCGCATGGACTTTGCATTGAGTTTGCTCCGCATCCTAGATTTCTCAGCTCTCTTTATTGCAGAGTTCCGCTGCTTTTGCGGATAATGTGTTTATGACTCTTGCGATCCACTACAGGTTCGAGGATCGTGCAGCGGGTGTGGCGGACCCACCAGGTGTGGTGCTTCGCCTGGATAGAGATGGAGATGGAGGATGAGGGTGGAGTAAGATGGCATAACGTAGCTCCCACGCAGATTCCAACGCCTGTACTCCAAACTGTGCGAATGTAGAATGTCCCCAAGTATAGACTCTGGCCGGGGTATACCCCAGCAGACTGACTGGACTGGATTGGAATGGTACCGACAGAGGTACCGGCCTGGACTGGACTACCCCGAATACAACACAGGCCTGTGAGAACAAGCCGAGGGGCTGGTCTCACAGGCTAACCAGAGGTCCGCTACACGATCCTCAGCCTGTGATGGATCACCTAGATACAAGCACGCTTCTGCCAAGAAGAGGAACTGTACCAAAGAAAAAGAAAACCCCAGTAGTCTAGGATGCGGAGCAAGCTCCATGTTGAGTCCATGCGATGCAACCTATGATAGAAAATGTAGCAAAAATAGCAATGTCACAACTAACAGCCTAAGTGAAAGCAGAAGCAACTAACGAGTATACATGTCCTAGGAAAGCAGAAAGTAATGACAACTAAATCCTAATATGTTGGAGGCAGAGGCCTCAGTCTAAGAGCACCAAAACAACAACAAGACAATCAAATGTTGGAGGAGTGTGTCGCAAACCACAGGGTGGGATGGTCTTTGAGGGTGGTGAATGCAGCCTAGGGGTCGATAAACTCCTAAGGGCATCCATACATAATGATAGGGAGACACATGTCATCAGGCTCAATGAGGGTAGGGAACTGGGAGGGAACAAAACCAATGACCCTAACAGATACACCATCAGGGTGGGTAATGCTCGACTAAAGGGGCGACCGCTATGTAGGGTCGACCATGCAAGGGAATCACGGAGCCTGGTATACTGGGCGCACCTAGGTGAAGCATGCAAGGCTGCCTAACTAGGGCAGGAAGGTCGGCAGAGGATAGAAAAAGTGATGGGTTAGGGAATCATGCAAATGACTCCTAAAGTGAGGGAAGTCGGAGCTAGATCCGTAAGTTGGGAAGCCAGGGCAACGCTACGGTCGTGATGCCTATGAGTATACCAAGGGAGAGCCCAACTCAGAGGAACCCGGCGAAGGGAGACCATCATGCGACACAACTTGGGTACTGTACAGGGTAAGGTGGTAAGAGAATGACGACGTCTCAAGTAGGCAGAGCTGATCGTGACAAAGGCCGTGAAGCTGTCGATGACGTCCATGATGAGAAGTCCGGAATGCCGTCGAGAAAGAGCCGCAATGTCGACGAGCTCAAGTAGCAAAACTGGAGTGGATGGAGTACTGAGAAGTCAAAGACGTAGGAGGATAAATGTGTACCGGGCAGGACGACGACGAGTGCGTTGTGGACGCTCAAAAGCATCCGGCTGCTGTTGAAGGTCTGCCTCAGATGGAGCAGGCTCGACTCCAGCGGTCCCCTCAGCCGAGGGAGAAGGAAGAGGGTCAGTAGGCTGAGGAGGAGCAGTCAACCCAGCACGAGGAGCACGGTCATAGGCACCCACCAACATGCGAGCATGTTGCAAGTGCTCGAGGGGCTCCCAAGTAGCCTCCTCATCAGGATAACCCTTCCAACGTATGAGATACTCGACGTGAGGAGGGTTGTCGTCGGTGACTCGGCAACCAATGATGTTTGAAACGAGGAACTCCTCGTGGTCGTCCACCATGATGGGTGGAGGGTGCTCGTACGGTCGTCTTGCGAAACGCTCAGACGGTCTGCGGTAGGGACGCAGTAACGAGATGTGGTAGACATCGTGCACATGAGTCTGGCGTAGGTACTCGGGCAACTTCACACAGAAGTTGATCGGGCTAGATGTTGTATCAGAACCGACGGCCTGGAGAATGCGGCATGGGCCAAAGAAGCGATATCGGAACTTGCAAAGCGTGTCCACTTCGAGCTGTAAGTGGCGGGCGTCGATAAGCACATCATCACCGACTTTGAATGGATGTTCCATCCTCGATCGGTTCGCACGTGCGTCCATGCGAGTCAAGGAAGCGACTATGTGCTCATGCGCGCTCTTCATGATCGACGTCATGTGTGCAACCCAATCGTCCAGCGTGGGACAACTCGTGTCGGGGTGCATCTGTGACAGTCGAAGGAAGTTCGAGAGAACACGAGGGTGATAGCCGAGGTCGCAATAATAAGGTGACATCCCCGTGGCTGGCGAGACGACATGGTTGTAGGCTATCTCCGCGTGCGCAAGATGGAGATCCCACTGGTGGTCGTCACAAACAATCTTTCGGAGAATATCTCCGAGAGTCATGTTCGTGACCTCGGTCTGACCATCAGTCTGGGGATGATAAGACAAGGAAAAAAGCGGACCTGGGTGTCGTACACCTCGTGGAGCCGTCACCAGAAACAGCTGGTAAAGTGCGGGTCACGATCAAATATGATGCTCAGGGGAAAGCCGTGGTTACGCACGACGTGGTCAAACACGATGTCGGCGACCTCATGTGCACTAATGGCATAGCGGTACGTAACAAAGCGTGCGGGCTTCGTGAAGCGGTTGACAACGACCAGGATAGCATCATGACCGCGGGGGATTGGAGGACGAAGAGGACCGATAAAGTCCATCGAGATGGACTGCCAACGACCCTCAAGGATAGGACGAGGTTGGAGCAAACCATAAGGCAGGTGGTTCGCACTATTCACCTCCTGGTAGGTGGACACTCTTCGACGTAGTCCTTCACAAAGTCCTTGCGCTTCGGCCAGACGTACAGGCGACTCACATGAGCCAACGTCTTGTGGAAGCCCATATGACCAGCGGTTGTCTGGTCATGGAACTCTGCTACTGCCTGGACACGTAGCTGTCTGGTGGAGGGAACACAAATATGGGGCTCTCTGGTGCCCTGTGAACAGTGTCGGTACACAAGACCGTTGTCCCCAAGAGAGTAGTTCGGGACGGTCTTGCCACTCCGAAGGGTCGCATGGATGTCGCAATATTCGGGGCAGCGGCGGTACTGTGTACAAAACTCGTCGATCATCGAGTGGTGGATGGTGGTGACCGAGATGGTAGCAAGCTGGATCTGCTCGAGATCATGGTCAGGGCGCCGGGATAAGGACGCCAGTGTCGAGTGGCATAAACTACTGCGAGAACCTCACGTTCATCAGCAGTGTAGTTTATCTTGGCGAGCAGGAGCTGACGGGAGTAGAAGGCTATCAGAGAATCACCTGAGCGAGACTCGACAGTGCCGTCCTCGACGGTGGTAGGAGAATAGTCAATAGAAGGCTCGTAAGTAGTTGGACGAGTAGGCGTCAGGCGGGAAGCAGTGGTAGGGGTAGGAGGTGGGAAGTGAGGGATGCGAGGATGAGAGGAATCAGGAGAGGAGGGGAAAATCTGAGAAAGCACTGCCCCTATAGCAAAGTCTAACGCATCAGTGATAAGGATAAAAGGGCGATCAAAATCGGGTAGGTGGAGAACCGGTGCACATGTCACCGCCTTCTTCAGGGCGTGGAAGGCGTCCTCGTGGAGGGGTGTCCAAGCCCATAGTTGGTTCTTCCGAAGGAGGGTAGAGGTAAGGACATGCGAGTAGGAGGCGTAAGCTCGGATTAACTTACTGTAATAACTCGTAAGTCCAAGAAAACTACAAGGGTGCTTGGCGGACTTGGGGTTAGGCCAGTCCGCGATACCAGTGATCTTTGAGTTGTCCATGTGGAGACCCTGGGCAGACACGTAGCGTCCTAAGAAATCCACTTTGCGCTTGGCACAGCGGCACTTGCTCAGCTTGGCGTAGAAGCCATGTCTGAGCAAGCAGTCAAGGACGTCACGGAGGTGTTTGAGATGCTCCTCAAGGGTATGACTATAAACCAGGATATCGTCGAGATAGACGAGAACGTACTGCTCCAGAATGTCCCTGAAGATGTCGTTCATAGCCGTCTGGAAGGTAGGTAGCGGGTGCGTTGGTGAGGCCAAAAGGCATCACCAAAAACTCATAGTGGCCAAAGCGCGAGCGGAACGCTGTCTTCGGTTGATCCGCTGCAGCGACGCGGATTTGATGGTAACCGCTATGAAGATCAATCTTCGTAAAGCAGCGATTGTCTGCTAGGCAATTGAACAGCTCGTCGGAACGTTATACTTCCCCTTGACTGGCTTTAGTTCAAATGGCACCGAAGAAATCAGATCTTCGACTTAGCGTATCGGCAACAACGTTATACTTCCCCTTGACTGGCTTTAGTTCAAAATCATATTGATCAATCTCAGCGACCCACCTAGTTAACTTAGGTGTCATTCGGGCCTGCGTTTTAAGCCAACGAATTGTCTCATGATCTGAGTACACTTTGAAGTGGCGTCCTAAGAGATAGTGTCGCCATTGATCTAGAGCTTTCCGGAGAGCAAACAACTCCCTCTCATATGTAGAAGCGGCGACCTTCTCATTAGGCAGTCATCGGGACATAAACTCAACAGGTCTGTATCCATTCCCATCGTCTTGTTGGAGTATAGCGCCTATCCCGTATTGATTGGTGTCGGTGGTGACGACAAAGGGCAAAGAAGGATCAACAACCTTCAAAACCGGATAATTAATTAGATATTTCTTTAGACGTTTGAACGAAGTTGTACAATCTGAGTCCCACTTCCAGATGGTTTCTTTCTTTAGCAATCTGCAAAGGGGTGCAGCAATTATCGTGAAGTGTCTAACAAACTTCCGATAATAGTTGGCTAGCCCAAAGAACAACCGCAACTCAGTCAAAGTGCGGGGGTTAGGCCAATCGCGAATTGCTACAATCTTTGCGTCTTCCGGTTTGATCCCATCGCCATCAAGCACATGCCCTAGATATAAAACCTCACGCTTTTGCCCATTCACACTTCTTGGGGTTCAACTTCAACTTTGCCTCACGCAATTTATTTAGCACAAGTCGAAGGTGCTCACAATGTTCTTTCTAATCTTTGCTAAAAATCAAAATATCATCAAGATAATGACAAATTTATCAAGCCACTCGCGGAAAAGCTCATTCATAGTTCTTTGGAAAGTTGCAGGGGCATTCGTAAGACCAAAGGGCAACACAATGAACTCGTAGTGCCCGTACCTTGTTCGAAAGGCGGTCTTGTATTGGTCTTCTGGCTCTACCTCAATCTGATGGTAGCCAGACTTTAAATCAATCTTAGTGAAGTACTTGCTTCCCTGAACTCTATGCAACAGATCATAAATTCTTGGCAATGGCTCAACATTCTTAATTGTTATATCGTTTAAGCTTCTATAGTCTATGCACATGCGGACCCCGCTTTTTCTTTTGCACAAACAGCACTGGCGCACCATAAGGCGAGGAGCTAGGCCTTATCCATCCCTTTTCCAGCATTTCATCGAGTTGGGTTCGTAGTTCATCCAATTCTTTAAGTGACATTCTATATATATGCCCCTTAGGAATCCGACTTCCTGGTACAATCTCAATGCGATGTTTAATTGGTCGTTCCACCACACCGCTTAGCGCCTCTGCCACATCTGCGAATTCTTTCAAAATCTTTTCAATTTCGGGGGACTTTGTCTCTTCTTTGGCTTCTTGTTCCTTCACCGGGCACACATATGCTACAAACACTTGATCATACAAATTATACTTTTTCACATGGCGGGCGAACGCGGGGGCACTAGTACAACAATGAGCTAAGCTGCTTTCCTTACCAGATTCATGGAACAGGCGGATTCTCTTCTTTCCACTCTGCGGAGTAGGGAGCCAACACTCATGATCCCTTAACTTTATATCCGCATCTGCAGCTTCAACCCAATCCATGCCTAAAAGAATGTCAAAAGGGAGACTATCTTCCACCAAGAGAGTAAGAGAGTGGAGAACGTGTTCCACCTTCACCTCTGCTTCGAGCCGGAAGTATGTCTGGACCCCTTCAACATATCTATCCATTACTGTTTCAGTACTATTTGCTAATTTACCGACGACGGGTTCATCCAACTGCTTTACCTTAAGCCCGAGTCGCAGCTTTTGCAAACCTTTTTTACTTATATAGTTGCGCGTAGACCCGCTGTCAATCATACCTCCAACTCTTACTTTATTTACTTCTAGAGCTGCAATTATTAATTGTCCTTTTCATTTTTCATCTCAGTCCAGGCTTGGCGACGAGCGGCCAACTCATCACCCATGCCAACGAGGGATCCACCTAGAGAGGTACACAGACTTACTACCTCTAGACAACTAACTAGGTGGGGACTGTCTGTCTTATCAGTTTCTGCCTGAGGAACCTTCAAATGGGAGGATGTCTTTCTGTTTACATCCGAAGTTCCGGTAGAGGCAACTTTCCCTTTTGGTTGTTTGTAATCTGGGCAGAAGGGAACGATGTGGTTGGGGTCTCGACATTTGAGGCACTGATCGACGACTTTCCTATCTTGCCAAACCTTTTCTGTAATCCCCAATTTCTTCCAAGGCTCCCCTTCGGGCAGACCTGGATGGGGCGGATATGGCTTATCCCAGTTATTATACCAAGTGCCTCTTCCTCTTCCCCAGGTAGAATTTGAACCGAGGCCACCTTGCGAGGGACTATTGCCCTTTCCACCCACGTAGTAGCTACCTTCGCCACCACCCCTCTGGGTGCCGAGTCCTCTTCCACCACGTCCACAGCCTCCTCTTCCTCGGCCACGACCTCTTCCTTGTCGCGCTCCCCCGCGGGCTGCAACGGCCGTGTAGTCCACCTCCTGAACTACCGAACCGTTGGGTCCTCCCTCCAGACCAGGAGAGAGTCTCGACACCTCCTTCAAAAGTAAGAAGGAGATTGTCTTTCCCAGGTATGTTCCCTGAGATAGTTCGGTACTGCCATTTCTTACCCGCTTGCAAATCTTTCCATTAATGGCAGTAGTTAGCTTTGGGTAAGAAGCCAGCATGATCTATAGCGATCTTGCTGAATTTCTCGTATGTCATCCCCTCATCCTTTATGCGGGGATAAAGCTGAGTACGGAGAGGGTTGGGCAGTGCCCTAGCAAAGTTACTGAGGATTTGAGTAGGAGTGAGTCCATGTTCAGCGCATTGTAGGAGTTCGTCCATCGTTGCTTTGAGTGTCGACGCACTCTTCCATTTCCGATCCGCAATTTATAAGATTAACATTTCTGTTCTTCGTGCCAAATTTTTTATCTTCAAATCTTTCTCTGATAGCTTTGAAGAAATCTTCAATTCTCGTTTGTTGTGAGTATTCAATCATAGTTTGGGAGTTGGCTTCTTTTTGCAATGATATGGCGAAGCTCATTGCGTCACCGGCCATACACGAAGTGGCCATCAATTCTTTGTCCCAATATGGGATGCGTTGTCCGTATACGAATGATTCCACGGCCGCAATCCAATGTAAGACACTCTCCTCCTTTTTGCCTGTATAAGTCCCCGATACTTCAACTTTAATTTTTCTCACATCCCCACTTTCTTCTTGTTGCACGCCCTTTCCTTTCTTGTCTCCATCTCCCCCATCTCCGCCTCCATCTCCTCCTCCTCTTCCGCTGCCGCGAATTATCTTTTCAATTATGGCGGGAGTGAAGGTTTGATTGATGTGATCATATAATTTCTGAATATATGATTGTATATGCTAATCAACATCTTTCGCGGACTCTTGCAGAAAGGTATTCCAGATTCCTTCAAACTCGTATTGGTGGGTTTCAACTTTTTGCAACATTTTGTTCATTGCTGCTAACTCTTGCTTTGTATGAAGGACTGTTTCTATCAAGAGGGCAAGTTTTTCTTTTGTTGCAGTTTGCTTTTCCTTCAGGTCTTGCAACGCTTTTTGCAGCCTCGCACCCTCTGTTCACAGCCTTTTCCTTTCATCAAGTTCTTGTCGCTTCGCTGCTAACATCTTACTATGCAATTCAATTCGTTTTTCCTCCAGCAAGAGTTCTTTTTCCCTTTTATCTTCAATAGAATTCTGTTTTGCAATGAACGTATCTCTTTCCTCTTCTGTCTCTTCAATTCGATCGCTGGAATATGCATATTGATCATACCAATTTAGCGGTTTGACCTGGAGTTCTCCACCTGTCTGGCTACTTTCTCCGCTTTCTGTCCGTCGCCTGATGAGCCTGTCAGCAGCAAGCTCATCTTCTTCTTCTATAGTTTTTAGTTCTTCCTGCAATTCTTTTTCTAACTTTTCTTTCATTTCTTTTTTCATTCTTTCTTCCTCCATTTGTACTTTCTTTTTTATCTCTTCTTCTTTCTGTCTCTTTTTTTCTTCTTTCTCTTTCTTCTTTTCGGCCAGGCGGCGATCTATTTCAGCCTGCTCTGCAGCCGAGGGCCCAGGCTTCGTAGTGCCGGATCTCATCATCATCCGGGAAGTGCATGTCCTCCCGAAGCCCGGGGGAAAGAAGACTCTGAATAATGAACCCAACAAAACTGAGAGGGCCAACAAGCCTGGCATAGGATAGTCATCCATGCTGGGTAGCAACACAGGAACGGCCTTCGCTGGCTTAGCAAGTAAACCCAAGTACTATACTAACTTTATGTGGATGGGATCTGCCTTGTTTTTTTTTTTTTTCAAACTCTGGATGTCGCTGCTTCAGGAATAACGAATTTCAGGAAATATAAAACTTCAACATACAGTAGGACTTTTTTTTTTTCTTACTCGCAGTTTGTGTCCCACTTAATTATCGTCTCTCTCTCTCTCCTTTTGGTCTGACTTTGTCTCCCTTTTCTTTCTTTAATTAACTCTTGTTTGTCTGTCCTCCTGCGCAGGGAATAGCTGGAGTGTTCTCTATGTCAGATGCCCTGAACGATACTTCAATCACAAATCATTTCTGCCCATATATCTTGCTTGCAACTTGACATGGCAATCTGCCACAACCCCCAGTTATCTCTTATCTTTACTAACTCTTATAGCACAGATGTCAGATCAGATATCAGGACGACAGGATCAGACAAGGACTCCGACCAGCTCTCAACTCTTACGTGCCTAGACACTTGAGTCCCGACCTTCAGACCAGACCAGACCAAGTGTAGACCAGACAACAGCAGCGACCACTAGAGAGGAGGGGAATTAGAGGTACTCGACACACACTCAGCATGCAGCCAGGTAAGGGGAAAAAAGTTTTTCTCTCATTCGCAGACGTCGATGAAGTTTCCTTGATCGCTCCGCACTCCACGCTCCACGCGCAGGTAAGATCTCCTCCTTAGCCCCTTCCTCTTTGGCCAACTTCCTCCTCCTAATCCCAACCACCTCTCTTCTCACACTTCCACCATAGCCAGCATCTTCAAGCCAGCATATCCTCCTCGCCGGCCTTACTCATGCCAGCACTTCAGTGAGCGCAACAAGTCACTGCTCCGATACCAAATTGCAAGGAACCTGACTGTTCACAACTTGCTGGAGTGTAGCTCATTGCATGCATAGAAGTCATCACGCAGATAGAGAAACTTCACACGAAGCCAAATCGAGATGAGATGAGAACTAGATAGCGCAGCTCATATTATCAAAATCACATTACACAATGAGTATCTCGAGTTCAAGAGTTTCAGTGCCAAGAGATTACAAATCTCCCTCGTTCATTCACCATTATTGGGCCTGGCTCAACCAGCGTCTACCCTAAGATCACAAGTATGGCGCCAACAGGTAAGTATCCGCCATGTCCAACTTCACACTCTGTCTTCTCTCTCTCTCTTCTCTCTCAAGATCTCTGTCTTGGTTCCCTCGTCTCACCATTCATGCACACTCCCTACTTATGAGGATCTACTTTGAATGTTACTCACTAATGTCTACTACTAACCCCTCTAACTACTACTAACATTGTTGGCGCAGCTATGGCTGCTTCTGACAGACAGCGCCCAACCTCTTCTTCTCCTGCTTGCGCAGCTTCCAGCCAGCGCATTCTCCCTGCATGCTAGCACGCAAGTGCTTCATCACTTCCACGCATCTATGCGAGTGGTGATCTGTCGTGTGGGGAGGCTGGCCTGGTCTCTTATAGTGCTGGCCTCCCTTTGCGAGGTCTGAATCAGCCTTCCTTGGGTCTTTTCCCAGTCCTAGACCACTGCAGACTGTGTCCCAGTACGTTTCCCTCAGGGTCTGCTGCTGCTGCGGCCTTTAGGCCTGAATTTTGGACTTTGGGTCTGAATCTGGACTGCCTATTGGACTTTGACTTGGACTGGGACTCTATCCCATTGACTTTCATTTGAATAGACAACTTCTGCACGAACAGACACATCTACTGCACGAACAGACATGACTTGCACAGCCCCCTAGACGAATAGACGTGACTCTCACAATTGAATGCTGCAACTGTTCGTCCTGGGGCACGACTGTGACCTTTGACACAACTCCTAACTTTAGTCAGGATGTGACTTTTGACCTAGAGAACATGTCTTTTGATCTGCTTTTCACGAATTGATTTCTGGCCAAGTGGGCCCCATTATGATGCGTTCGCCATTCAGAGTCTGAAGGGATAAAGGCCCTTTTAGCTACCCCAACGGGGTCAAAAAATGTGCTCCGAGAGCGGAAATAACTAAGTCCTACCAGGGGTCTGGTCCCACCTACAGCGTTGAGTTTTTTCAACGCTGAGCTTTCTATCACGTGTGGCATGGTGGGACGTAGCTTTGTCGTCAATGTATTGCGATCTAATGGTACCGAAATAGAGGAGAATAACCTATTAGATTTTGTTTTTTTGTAGAACTTTTTCTTTGACGTGAAATTCGTTTTGTAGTATGCTTTGGCCCTTTTGGTTTGGGCGGGAAGCCATTTTCCATTAAGAAAACTACCCTACCGAGGGTAGGGTACGTTTCTCAACTGCAGTGCCTTTCCTTTTTTTTGGTTTTTAAGACATCATTGCATCCTGAAACGGAGGAACTTTGACAACTGTGTTTGGTTGTCTGGCATCGAACTCGCGTCCTTCTTTGGGCAATGAATGCATTTGGCCATCCACGTTGTCCCTGTCCATTTTACAAATGGTGACCTCCTGACCTAGAGAACATGTCTTTTGATCTGCTTTTCACGAATTGATTTCGGGCCAAGTGGGCCCCATTATGCTGCGTTCGTCATTCAGAGTCTGAACGGGTAAAGGCCCTTTTAGTTACCCCCACGGGGTCAAAAAATGTGCTCCGAAAGCGGAAATAACTAAGTCCTACCAAGGGTCTGGTCCCACCTACAGCGTTGAGTTTTCTCAACGCTGAGCTTTCTATTACGTATGGCATGGTGGGACGTAGCTCTGTCGTCGATGTATTGCGATCTAATGGTACCGAAATACAGGAGAATAACCTATTAGATTTTGTTTTTTTTTAGAACTTTTTCTTTGAAGTGAAATTCGTTTTGTAGTATGCTTTGGCCCTTTTGGTTTGGGCAGGACGCTATTTTCCATTAAGAAAACTACCCTACCGAGGGTAGGGTACGTTTCTCAACTACAGTGCCTTTCCTTTTTTTTGGTTTTTAAGACATCATTGCATCCTGAAACGGAGGAACTCTGACAGTTGTGTTTGGTTGTCTGGCATCGAACTCGTGTCCTTCTTTGGGCAATGAATGCATTTGGCCATCCACGTTGTCCCTGTCCATTTTACAAATTGTGACCTCCTGTCCCCTCACCATGGGGAGTATCCCTTTTTCACGGAGACATTCACTCCGACTGTTTCGGACATGTTTTATTTCTCTGAGTTACGTTGTAAAAAATAAGGAGAAAAGTTGTTTCTAGCTTTTTTTTCAGTTTTTTTTATTTTTGGATGCTGGACGAGCACCTCGAGCACCTTCGCGCCGTTTTGGAGCGACTCTGTATCGCCAAGTACAAGGCGGACCACGACAAGTGCGAGTTTGCCCAGCAAGAGCTGGAGTACTTGGGCCATTACGTTACGCCGCAAGGCATTCGTCCGCTTGCAGACAAAGTACAAGCCATTCAAGATTGGTCGGACCTCAAGTGTACCACTGACGTCCGCTTCTCAGCTTAGCATCTTATTACATGCGCTTCGTCAAAGGGTTTCAACGGATAGCTGCACCATTGCCGCGACTTCAGTCCCCCTTGGTGCCCTTCAAGTTCAACGATGAAGCCTGACACGCGTTCCATACGCTGAAGACGACCTTGCTCCAAGCTCTCGTCTTAAGCATCTACGACCCAACCTTGCCTACCAAAGTGACTACGGACGCTTCCGGCTACGGCATTGGCGCAGTTTTGGAGCAGCATGACGGCACAGACTGGCATCCGGTCGAGTACTTCAGCCAAAAGGTGCCGCCCATCAATTCACTTGATGATGCGACGAAGAAGGAACTGCTAGCTTTTGTCACTGTACTTGAGCATTGGCGTCACTTTCTCCTCAGGCGTCGGCGATTCACGTGGGCAACGGACAATAATCCGTTGACGTATTACAAGACGCAAGACACGGTGAGCAGCACGATCGGTCGGTGGATGTACTTCATTGACCAGTTCGACTTCACCTCCAAGCACATTCCGGGCTCCTCGAACAAGGTAGCGGATGCTCTCTCGCGAAGACCTGATCTTTGCGCCTTGGTGCACTCCACATTCGGCCTTGACGAGAACCTGCAACAGCATTTCGTAAACGGCTACAAGTCGGCTCCGGGATTCTCCACACTCTATGCGGACTTATCATCGGATCAACCGCCGACAAGCAATTATCGCGTTGTCGACGGCTACTTGCTTCTCCATACACGAGGCAAGGACTTGTTGTGTGTGCCCCAAGACTGCATCTTGCGCACTCCCCTCCTTGGCGAATACCACGATTCGCGGTTGGCGGGACACCTTGGCGTCGCACGCACACTTGCACGACTCCGCCAGCGATTCCACTGGTCGGACATCATCAGCGACGTCAACCGGTACATTCAGTCATGTGCAGTTTGCCACCGGAACAAAGGGCGCCATCAGCTCCCGTACGGCGAACTGAAACTATTGTCGATTCCTCGGGAACCAGGTCTTTCCATTGCAATGGATGTGACTGGTCCTTTTCCTCGTTATCGCCTTGGCCATGATGGTATTCTCACGGTCGTTGACCGTCTGAGCAAGTACGCTCGATTTCTTCCATGCAAGTATCATGCGATGGCTCCTGAGCTCGCACGACTTTTGCATACCGGCTAATTTTGCAGCCACGGCATTCCAGAAGACATCGTCAGCGACCTCGACCCTCATTTCATGTTGGCCTTTTGGATGACACTCATGGTGGAATCCGGCACCAGCATGAAACCGAGTTCCGCACGGCATCCTCAAACGGATGGGCAAATGGAACGTGCGCACCAGACTGCGCAAATGATGCTCCGCACACTCATCCGCCCGGATCAGAAGGACTGGGTTGACCGCCTTCCCGACATCGAGTTCGCCTACAACACTTCGGTGCACTCGGCGATTGGCGTGACACCATTCGAGTTGCATCACGGTGGACGGAAAGGACGTATCTTCGCAGACATTTTGCTTCCACAGGCTGCCGATATCGACGCAGCTTGCTCCCCCGCTTCCACACGGTGGACGGAAAGGACGTATCGGGCCATCGGCGTTGCATCCCATGTCCAATCCGCGCCGGCGACCTGGTTTGGGTCACCTCCAAGGAATTCACGCTCGAGCAGCACGTCTCGCGCAAGCTCCTCTCTAAGTGGTTTGGACCATCAAAGGTCACTTCAGCAGCTGGCGACGACCCCACGGGTCCATCTTTCATCATTGAGATTCCCCCGCATTTGACGGTCCACCTGTTATTTCACGCTTCAAAGCTGGCGGTCTACACTCCAGCCTCCGCAGCGGACTTCCCGGGGAGACGGTCACAGGACCCTACCTCAATGGATGGTCATCAGGAGGTCAACGTCGTCCTCGCTCATCGCAAGCACGGCAACAAGCCAATGCAGTATAAGGTTTCATTCAAGCAATGTGATCCCGACGACACACGCTGGATTTCACGAGCTGACTTGAAGGCGACAACACCCCTCATCTTCGCGCATTACGAAAAACAGCGACTTGCTAAGGAAGCTGCCCAACCTGCCCGCCCCGTACGGACATCGGACACACAGCTTCACCCTCGCAGTTAGCTCGGTCTTCAAGGGGGGGAGTGTGTGGCATTCTGAGCCACACGGCCCCCAGTTAGGGCCCGGTTCGAGATAGGCAGGGTAGGCCTAAGGGGACGACGGTTAAGATGAGGCCCAGATAGGCCAGGACCACGGCGGTTCAGGCAGGCCAGGGGTAGAGGCCCAGGCCAACGGACACAAGGCCGGTACTGGTCCATCATAGGACCTACCGGTGGCGCAGTGCAGAGGCTTCCGCGTTTAGGCGCCATGTCCAGTTTTAAAACTGGACCGTTGATCAGATCAACGGTCCAGGCCGGTAGGTACCAGCAGGTAGGAGGCCGGCCCAGCACTACAAAAGGCTGGGTACCAGCCTCAGTAGGAGGTTAGTGAGGTTGGAGTTAGTCTTCAGGATTAGCACAGCATTGCAGCGTTAGTAAGATTAGCGCAGCGCAGCAGCGTTAGTGCGAGCAGCAAGCCGAGAGCAAGACAGTGGCGAGGAGGAACCAGCGCAGCAGGGACAGCGCCAGCCACTGGACCAGCCCGCGGCCCAGCGCCAGCCGCCTGCAGCGCCATCGCTACCAGGACAGGTACCAGGGAGGAAGGCCCCGCCTTCTCTCCCTCTTCCTCCACCGCCACTCTGTCTCTCTCTCTTTCTCTCTCTCTCCTCTGAAACGGTTTTCACCTTTTACAGCAGCAGATGCAGATGTTCGATCCCTAGACCTCACCCTACCCATGTACAGTATCTGTGTAGATCCCGAGAGTTGAACCTGTGACCTGTGTATTCGTAGACAGTTGGTAGGTCTGTCATAGGTCCATAGGTAGCAGGGGTTCGATATGTAGGTCTATAGAGTAGAAGTCTTAGCGAGTTCCAGAAGCCTAGCTGTAGCCCTTCTAGAAGGTCGGCAAGTGGGCAAGTGGTCAACTGGCGAGCCAAGTGGTGGACTAAACTGCAGTGCGATTGCAGTCCGACGACGGTGGGATAGCAATGAGTCCACAGTCAGTCAGTGGTAAGGTCCAGTCAGCCCCAGTCCGGTCCAGCAAGTACCACGGGGGACTGTGAGCACCATGGGCTGATGGCAAAGGGCAGACCAACGAGTTTCCGAAGTATAAATCAAGAGGCAGCGCCCAACCTTTCATTCATTCCTGCGTGAGCCATGTGGAAGCGCTGCCACAGCGACTTGTGCAAGGAGGTCTGTAGTGAGCCCGGAGGACGCAGTGGGCGAGAGAGAAGGAGCTTAGTATAGCGATAGGGTAGAGGCAGCCATCGCTGCCATAGTTGTAGTTAGTGTGAAGTGTGTGTGTGTGTATGTGCGAGTGTTCAGAGTTACGCGTGTGGGATATCCAGGGTGATCCGGTGTGTGTGAACAGTGAGTTGTTTGGGCGCTGAGTCGCCATAGCCAGTTAAAAGTGAACTCTTATCTGGACACCATATCTCTGAGTATTGAGTGGGCGCATGTCGCCAGCTTGCTGCGCTGCTGTTTACATGCATGAAAAGTGTGAATGAGACGAGTCTGATTGCATTGGTATCGGAGCCGGTACCCGCTATTCCATGCGTACCGTCGTGCAGGGCCTGATAAGCCATAGCAGAGGTGGCCGCCGAAGGTTGTAGTCCGCCATAGCGGACCTGAGGTTGGAGAAGCCACCGCGCACCTGCAAAAGAAGACCACGACGACGAAGAAGAGAGAGAGAGAGAGAGAGAGAGAGAGAGAGAGAGAGAGAGAGAGAGAGAGATGAGCGATACAAGTTTGGTTGTCACATACCTGTGAAGCGAGTTGTGCAGTCCCACGTGGAGGAAAAGAAGCAGCCATAGCTGCGGAGCATCACCACGGAGTAGTGAAGGAAGGAGAGGGAAACCGGACAAAGGAGAGACCGAGAATGGAGAGGAAGAGGCC